GATTGTCATGGCCTCCATCAGTTAAAAACAACGGTGTTTAGTCAGACTGACATTCGTTGCATGTGACTCAGTGTATGTGTTTGTGTGAAATAGTCATTGTAATAGGCTTCTGCTAAAAAATTGTGTGGAAATGTTTTGAGTTAATCCCGCCGAACTTATATTCTTTTCGTAGGATTTGATAGGCATTTTTGTATCATGAGCAGATTTCGTTGGGTTTTAACAATTGTTGTTAATGAGATTTGAGCTCGAGAAGTGGAGGCTGAGTGTTGAGTGTTGATAAACCAAATGATCATGTGAAGATCTTGTTATTCTTTGACGTTGTGAAAATAAGACATTCAGAAGACACCACCAAGTTCTCAGTAGCTCTATACAATTATACAGTCAATTCTCAACAGGTCAGCCAGTAACTCCAGGAAGGTTCTCAAAGCCCCTTTCACATTTTAGGTATTGTAGTTGGGAAGTGAATTTCACGTAATACTTTTAGCTTCTACAAACTCCAAATCAAACAACAAATAAAATTAAACAGACATGTGTGAGAAGCTAAAAATAATGTGTTTATCATTTTTCCTTGTAGTTTTTCTTCCAATGTTGGGCAAGAGAAAAGGTCGATGTTGATTTTAATACTTTAAGAATGTACATAACGTCAATGTCTATAACACTTCTTTCATAATAACTAATCACGTTACTGGTATGTCTTGTCAAAATAAACTTTACATAAACATGAGGTTTTTTTATTATATTTATTATATTTATTTTTTATAATAAACGAGAGCTATTATTAGCATTCGAATAATGTCGTTATACGTTGCTACTTCTATATGTGCAATATATTTCTTCAATAAATAAGATTTTTCTTATTTAAAATATTTTCATATGGCATTGGTTGCATCCTGTGCAGTTCGTGCTCTGAAAATGAAAGATCAAATGCATATATTATGCACCCATCTCAATGTGGTGGTAGGCTGTAGCAACAAATGCATATAACTTCGCCGCGTTAAATGTTCCAAATTCCTCGTGCACCTTCATCTCCCACCCTTAAAAGATGTACAGCCTTGTGATACGTAAAAAGCCCAAAACGAGAAGCTATAACTTGGTCTGGAGATGGTAATGGTTTGTGTTCGAGTTTGTTCATATCGTGTTGTATTCATGTCGAATTATGATTTGATCAACAAACAAAACGATACGTAAATTAATATCGTGCAAAAGTAGTTTACATGTTAGCTCATATAAGAATCTCAAACTCCTCACGTTAATTATCATACAATTAATCAAACCAAAATAACACCTTGAAGCAATTCCAATACCTTAACGCGCATCAACAGAAAATCAAAATTTTGTGACCAATTGAAAATTATCCCAAAGTTAAAATGTGTAAGAGTATCTCCAAATGAGATGTCAAAATGTTCAAATCAGCAATAACGGTAATAAAAGACAGCATTAATGTTTTTCAATCGAGAAGCCAAATCTGATGTGGCATGACATGGATTAACATCTCTCTCCCTTGCTGCCAAATTTGACAGCACCTTCAAATTTTTTAAAGTAATTATTAAATGCATTTTATTAATTTTTTATTGGTTTAAACCATTTTCCCTTTGTTTCTTTTCATTCCCAATGCAAAGAAAATACATATAAACTATTATTTTATGTTTAAAATTTGACATATCGGCTAGAGATCAAAAGTTTAAAAGATGCCAAAGTGCTAAGTAAGCCTTCAAATTTAAATTTTAGGTTTAAAATTGGACATCTCCTTTGGAGATGGTCTAAAATGCAGTTCACCATTTTTTATACGCATTTCAAGTTATATAACACGTCGATGTACGATGAACGATCACAATCACAAAATCTTTCGGATCCTCAAAAAAAGGATTCGACGAGGATCCTTTTCCTACCAAATGTAGATAAGTGGGCCCCGCATGACAGATCAGCTGCCAGCAAGTTACAGAAAAGATGAATCATCATCCAACTTCCAATAACATGCCTCATGCATGGCCTTTGACAGCTTTCTCTGTTTTTTTCCTTTTCTTTTCAGAATTTGAGGATTTGGAGACACTTGCTTCCCCCATCTTATGAAATTATCCACATCCCCGGCACATGAACGTCACGCTGCATCTCTGGCCTTGCTCTATTATTTACCTAAACGACGGTTCCGTTCCAACCGCTGCCTGGGCCCTACCACGAAATCACAGATTGTTCGGTTCAGATGCGGCCAAGGAGTTCGCGGGTCCCGCTGTTAATCATTGTAATTCCTGATCGTGGTGGGGTCATGCACTATGCAAGGATACTCTACGGTGCAGCGGCCCACAGGCTAGCCAAGAAAGGCCGCATGTCTATCCCAAAAGTCAAAGGTTCAAAACGTTCCATGGTCTAACCAAAGTTTTGCTAGGATTAAATCTGAACGGTTGCTTTATTTGAATAACTAAGCAACGGTTGAGATTGTTTTGACACGGATCATGCTTAGCCCATGCATTTTAACTTTTAACCAACATGCGCAAGAGAGACTAGTTATGTCATGGTATAATTGGCACAAGATGTTACTGTGACAATATACTCATTTGATGTAGATTAATCTCGTAGATGTTGGGTAGTTAATAATTATGTTGGCCAGAGAGATTGTAGGATCTCATTATTCGACTGAAAACAATTTCAAAGTATACAATTTACAACAAATAAGGACTTAGTAATAAACTTGTGATCAACTTCGAATATATGCACCCTTTAAGGCTAAGAGTGACTTAAGAATCAAAGGGTAAACAACCCGCACCGGTGCTCGGAAGTCTTGATTTATATTTGTTTTTGTAAGTGCGTCTTCTTTTGTCTTACACTGGAATTTTTTATTCTTTTGAATTTTACAATGCATTATTTTTTTTTGAATTTCTCTAATTTATGGGAGAGAGGATACAAATTTGGGATGACACATTATCTTGTTACGTTTGATTCTAAAAAGGGTGGGTGGATTTGAGTTTTTTGGTTTTCTCCTCTAATTCCAAGATTTTATGGGTGCGTTTGTTGTACCGGACTGGACTAACTGCAGGGACTAAGCTGGACTGACTTAGACTAGACTAAGCTGGACTAGCTTAATGAAGCGTTTGGTGTAGTGTCGGACTAAAAAGCAGGATAATGGATTTTTTTTGGGAATTTTAACGAAATGCTCCCGGTACTGTTCACTTTAACGAAAAACCACATTTTTACACTAAAAAGTCAATCCTGGTACTATTCACTTTACCCTTTATTTTGTCCTTATCATTAAAACTCAAAGTTTTCAAGCCCCTTTCATTAGTTTTCCTTTTTTTTTTTGGAAACTAATGAAAATTAACATTAGCCAATTGACATTTTTAATTTACTTTTGCCTTTAAAAAAACAAATATTATTATGTCATTCCATAAAAAACTATCTTCTACCATTGGAAGAAGAGAACTGACTCACAAACCAACCACATTTCTCAAATATCTGGATTCCCATTTCTTTTGTCAATCTCTCTCTCTCTCTCTCTCTCACTCTTTGCTTCCTCTCACAATCAACTACACCCACTTCAAATCCCACAGCAAGCTTATCCCACTCGCCACCGACAATCAACATCACCCACTTCACATCCCACAGCAAGTTGAAATTGTGCAGAGGCTTCGTCATCTCGGTACCCATGGCCATGGACTTTGCTACCTTTGTTTCTCACGCCTCGGAATTTTCTGGGAAGAGAGAAGAATTTTTATTGGGATTGTTGTTTTCGTTTTGCTTTTTTGTTTTGAATATGGGCATGGGTGGGTTAGGTTTCAAATCTGGGTTTAAGATCTGGGCATGGAGGCAAATGGAGTTGCAGAGAGGCATGCTTGTAGACGACACTGTTGCACACAACGCAAGCTCGGAGATGGGATTAGCAATCTCAAACGTTTTGAGGGGCCTCGCTAAGACCACGCAGTGAAGGACTTAGTCGGCACGAGTCCGACTTCGTCCCATTAAACTTTGTCCCGCTTGCACCAAATACTGGACTAGTAAGCCAGTCTAGTCCAATGAAACTTAAGAAGGTCAAACAAACGGCCCTATATTCTTATATTCGTATTGAAGATGGTTGACTTCAAAACCCGAATCTTATTTTACTCTAGTTGAATAACATTTTTTGATGTTGGCGTGGGCACACGCTACATACACCATTTTCCGGTTTTACCAACCAAAGTCAACTTTGCTGCCATTCTGACTTTATCCAACAAATACCATTGCGGGCTACTCCGTTGGATAGCAACCACATTCCATTTCGATCCTTCCTTTTAGTTTTATTAACTTTCTAACCCTCAAACTTTTAATGTTACGTCACTTTAGTCATTCTGTTAAATCTGCTAGTATTTCCGTTTAATCAGTTGCAAAAAATATGCTCATCACACCATATATGTGCTGTCCGGCTGTCAGCCTTCATTTTTATTCTTTCAAATTGGACTTGGAAACTTGGAAATTCAAATTTGGGTTGAAAAAAACAAAGAAATTGTAATCCACGCCTTCAATTTTGGATGAAGTACAAGAAGAAACTATAAAGTACATAGTAGATTTGTTTTGCAAAATTACGTTACTGTCATTAATTTTGTTGTTGTGATAAAAAACAAAGATGTCTTTTCACCATCTTTTAATTGACAAAAAAAATTTCATTAATACAATTTTGGATATCCACACCTGTTAATTTTCGATCGTCCCATCTACCCTTGACCATTTTTCCAGGCTTATCAAAACATATGGAGTTTCTAATTTATAAAAGAAGAAAAAATAAAAGACCCCACGTTCTCTCTTCCACATTTTTTCTAGAATTCCTCTGTTTTTTTTTTATAAATATTTTATATATTTACACGTAAATGTGTGGGCTCCGTTAAGTATGAGAGGACGGTAAAATTCAAGGGCCAAAGCGAGAACAAACGGTATATGATTAAACCACATGGTACAAAGCATGTAGACGAGCGCAGGCGATAATAGCTGGCTGACACGCAGGTCGCGCGGTAACTTCCCAGATTTCGTCGAATTTCAGGCACCTCTTGTCCTCTTTAGAAATTTCTCTGACTCTCTATCTCCCTCACTCATCCCCCAAACGACAGCTACAGAGGAGAAGAGAGAAAGTGGTGGCGGGAAGCACTGCACATGAGATCCGCAGGAGGGCGAATTTACCATTATACCCATCTCCCCGGCTGCTCCCGTCATCCTCCTCATAAATTCCCCCCCAACCGACGTGTCCCTGTGGAGTCGACCCGCCCCCTCTCCTCCTTCGGACACGACACCTTCCTCGTCGCCTTCGAATCCAAGCAAATCGTAAATATCCCAGAAAAGAAGGAAAAGAAGGAAATTTAATAATTAAAAAACGGAAATACAATCTGGAAAAAAGATGAGACCTTTGCTCTGGAAACCTCCAAAGGGCTCTGCTTCCCTCCGCCGTTGATTCGTCCACGTGGACTCTCCCATTCTATCTCTTTCCTTCTTCCGGCGTGCCTTTGCCCTCTGTTATGAAGTTCGCCGGTGATTGCTTTCTCTTCTTTCCATGGAATTTCCTTCTTTATCAACAAGGTCCTCCTCCTTTCCCTCTCTCTCTCTATCCCCTTTCTCTCTCTAACATGCATTCAATGTATAGCGTTGTGTATTTATATATTGGATTTTGGGTTGTTATTAATCTGTGAAATGGGAATTGTGGGAAGCAGTGTTTGGTGAAGAATTGGGCAGAAAGCATGAATTTGATGAAGAAAGGTGACGGTGGCCGCTGCATTTTCCCCCTCACCGGTTTGCAAATTGGGTAACATTCTTCAGAATTCCACATTTGCTACTTGAGTTTTTATTACTTAATTTGCTTAAATTCTCAAGTACCCTTTTGGTTTTGATCCTACAAACACAATATTTCTGGGCCAGAATTGGGTTTTATGGCATAAATTTAATTGCTTGAAAAAAAAAATATATATATATATATATATTTTTTTTTCAGCTCTAGTGTGTGTTTGTTAAGACTTAAGACTGTAATTTAGTATTGCTAAATGCAGAGAAAACCGTATGATTTTTCATCTTTTGAAACATACGATGTACTGATGTTTTCGGGGTTTTTTCTTTTTATGTAAATGAAGTGATTTGGTTTGTGCTTTGTGCTATATGGTTGCAGAGATTTGCAGTCTTACCTTTCGGATCTTAGCCTTTTCCTGGCCCTCGAGAGCAAGAAATTCTATATCTTGGTGGACAATCGGCCATGGCTGGGCGACCTAGGTTCGCGGTCAGCGCACTTGTGGCAATTGATGGTTACCAAGGTCAGACTTTAGTCAGTAGTCACTACACCCTCATTGATACTCAACTTACTTGTTTTTTCAACTTATTTGTTTTTTCAATTGTATTTCACTTAGGATCAAAGTTTATATTGGTTTGATTTTTTCAGTCAAGGTTGTCTCCTTTTGCAAACACTAAAGTACGGAAGGTGAGAACGGAAGGAAATGATGCTTGCTCTAGACCTAAGCCTGCAAAACCAAAGAAGCTTGCTAGGTGGTTCTCATTAATCAAGCATCAGAAGAAGGTGTTGTTACCTGTAAAGAAGCTGCGGAGTTCTTTACTTTTAAGCAGGGAGTTGCATAGGACCTTGTATGGTTTTATTGTATTTGAAGTTGCATGGAGCAATGTCCGAGGTATCAATTACATCAATGAGCTTCAGGTATCGATCCTTTTTCTATATCCTTGAACAGTTGTTTCTAGTTCTTTGTTAGTGCTCGTGTTCTATAGTTTATGTGTCCGTTGCAGACTGATACATCGCTGGCTATAGAGGCTAAAGTCATGCAAAGATGGGAATTTGACAGTATTGCTCAAGCTGCAAGCTGCATATCGTCATGGTTCTCAGGAACAGTCTCTGAGCAGCTACAGTTGAAAGAACTTCTGAATTCTGCCATAGGTAGCATTCTTTGCCCTCATGATTCCTTTTTTTTTTGGTCATCGACGTGTTGATAAATTTTTGACATGGGGTTTTCCTCTTATGGCATATGAGCATGGGATTTGTGTACGTAGTAGGAATATGGGGATGCCATTAGTGGTCAATTGTTTGGTTAGTCAAAACAATTAGTGCAGTATTGAAAACAGTAAGAGAAATTTTAGGGCTAATAATTGACATAGCTTCATTGAGTTGTTTCACGAGGTATGTCCCTTCTAAAGAAAAAAATATTAGATCTCTGACATGCACTGAGCCTTAAGGCGTGATGTATTCATCTTTGCTTGAATCTGTATGAGTTTTGCTTGAGAATAGAATTCTGTGATACGTATTATGATTTAAACGTTAAAAAGTTCTAACACCAGCATTAATGGAAGTCAAGATTGTGAGATGATGAGATACATTGTTTAATTACTTGGATAATCTTCATAAAAGTACTGGGAATACGGATCCCTTGAAGCTCACAGGGAGAAATTCCTTTTGGACATTTTTCCTTTGATGGTTTATTTGGATAGATTTATATTTGGAAAATTTCTTTATCTGCATGAAGTATTGTTTTACTACCAATTGAAATGAGGATTCTATAATTTTAATTAAATTTTACTTTTCCAGGAGAAGTTTTCTATGATGCTGAAGAGTATCCAGAGACAGAAACTATGGCCGTTGTTGATGAAAATATCTCCTACAACAATCTAACGTCTGAGGAAGATTCTCTCCACTGCTTCAGTCACAATTTTAGTGTTCATTCTGACACCTGTGAAAATAGGGCCGCTGTACCACATTCACCACCTCCACCTACTGGACCCTATAAGAGAAGGAAAATAACCACGTGCAGTAGTGGTGGAGTTGAAGTAGATGCTTATTCTGAGGAAACGCAAAGCCCTGCCAGTGACTCTGAAAATTCCGAGATGTACAAATGTTACTGTGAAGATGAAATGCAAAATTCTGAGACGTATTCCTGTTACTGTGGAGATGAAATGCAAAACTCTGAGATGTATACCTGTGACTCTGAAGATGATATACCGGTTACCGCGAGGGCCTATATCAGTGACTCTGAAGATAGCGTTAAAGCTACTCTGTTCAGCAAAGATGCTATACCTGTAACTGTCAATACCTATACTAGTGAATGTCTAGATGCTGTTGGATCTACACAGTACAGGGATGTGCTGATTTTGTTCAGGTTCAATGATCGTGACCTCCCATTTAAACTTAGAGAAATAATAATGTCTGATCTCCGGTTACTGACTTTGCTTGAGGCTGGGCTTCCATCTTGGGTTATCTTCCTTCAGTCATACCCAGGGTTTTGCCATATCTATCGCCCGTGGATGTGCCCTCTTGCAAGAGCATTGTATGTGCTGATCTCAGTTGTCACTGTTCTAATTGGATTTTTTGACCTATACAAAAATGTTCCAGTTCTGAAGGTAACTGCATCTCGTCTTTGTGGACCTCTATTTGATTGGATAGAGACCTGGTCGATGATATCAAGGATTAAGTACTTGGGAACAATGCTATTTCTACACCACTCTCAGAAAGCTGTTCAGTGCTTTCTGGCGATCAAGAGTACCACTCTCTCCTTTTTTTCAGTACTAGCTCAGCCATTGGCAGAACCTCTTGTGGAGTGTTTTGGATTCCTCCTTCCAGTATGGAACATGCTTGTTGATGTGTTAGAGAACCTCTTTTCAGTCATTTGGATTCTGATTGGATCTGCACGCAGTCTAGTGGGGAACCTGGTACAGGTTTTAGTGTTTCCAATATTATTTCTCCTGTCCACTGTCTGGAGCATTGGTAGGTCGTGAAATTCTTTGGATTACCCATCTTTTGATTCAAATAATCAATGGCGTTGTACAATTCACAAAAAAAATCTTGTATTCATCCCATGTACTCTTGTTTACATTTTGTTGCAGGAACTTCCATTGTATATCCTATATTTAGGATTCTATGGGAAGCACTCTATGCTCCAGTTCGCATGGTCCTTGCACTAGCCAATGTCATAGCCTTTATTGGTGCATGTATATATGATACGCTTCGAGATATATGGCAAGTTATTAGCAGCATATTCTGGTTTGCTTCAGCCTCTCAGGCAACTGTGAAAACGGTTGAAGTTTCCATATGGCGTTCACTTTGGAATGACCTCTTTTCTCAGGTTGGAAGAAAAAAGTATTATGTAGTTTCTATTTGTAACAGTGTCTGCTAGAATGGTTTTATTGATCACCATTCTCTTCGTTTTTTGGTTTCAGGTTTTCCGTGCTGTCAGGAGTATATTAAATGGTTTTGCTGCATTCTTCATAGCTTGTAACAGGCATCGCCTTAGGTACGCTCTTATTTTCTTTGGCGTCCTTATTTTGGTTTTAGTGATCTGCATTTATCCGCTCTGTGGGATGCATACACATCTGTCATGGTTGCTTAGGCCGTCTTCAGACCGTATTTGATGCCCAGGACAGAATATGCTGATGGTGAAGTTGGAGATTTCAATTCTATTGATTTGGAAAACGTTTGCTCACTGGTAGTTTGTCTTTTTAGCACTATGGTGTTTGCCTATTTAGTCACTGGCAGTTCAGCATGATCAATAATATCCCGTTTCTCCCGGTCCTGCAGTGCGAATAATTGCTTTTAATTATTTGTAGACCTATGTAAGATTTTGTTATAAACCTGTGCTTATGATTATTTTATGTGATTGTTACAGCATTTACAATCATATGCAAAAGTTTATCCAAAGAATCCTGGATCGAACCCGGAGATCATGGCGTGAAGTTTCAAGACGTTATAGGCCCACCGGAGAGACTCGGAATATGGTTAGTTTTCTAATGTGGGAAACTTTAGATCATGAATTTCACTTCCCTGCACAAGGTTGTAGCACAGAGATAGAATTGCTGCACCGATAATTGTCAACCGATTATTTTGGTTTTGGCTTTGCAGTTTGAAGTAACAAGGAAAATCAACATTGAATAGTGTTTCCCACAGCTGTCGGAGGATAACACTATCGAGACGGTACTCTGTTTGGGAAGTGCCTGCCACGTTGTGTATAAAACCACCTTCGACAATGTATGAAACGCTTTCGGCCAAACAAGAGAACGTAAAAGATGTCGAGACGGCGACATGATACCAGAGAATGTAAAAGGTGCTTCTCGTGCATGTAGCACCCATGTCTGAATACACATCATAGGAAGAGCTCGGTTTCTTTTTTGTCCTTAATTCTTTCCAATCTTTGTTTCTATTTGTGAATTGTAGAGGGGCAAACCATGGAGTTCAGTGTATATAATAGCGAATGAGTGTTTGCACTAATGAAGTTCCAAAAACGCTACTGTAACATCCCAAACCAGTAGCACAATGTTATGTGTTTTAACTTTTAACAGCCTCACATGGCACATCTTTGTTCATTTGGGATGTCACAACGACGTATAAGTCCTCCTCGTTAACCAGAAATCATAATTTGGATCCAAATATAAAGGAAAGACTAAATACATAAATGCCAAATCCCACATACAAGAGTTACTGACGTTTTGCAGAACGAGCAACATAAACAAAGATGATTAACAACTAAGAAATGTCTTAAACAAAACTAAACTCCTATTACTTGACAACCTACAATCCATAGAACAAGTTCCTCCGCTTGCAATAAGAGAATGGTAGCATCAAATCTGTACGGCTCCTCCAGTTTGGTGCAACATTGCATCGATCTCATCACCGTCCTCCATTTCCAACTGAAACACGAAAAAAAGGTCACAAACAATTAGCACATAAGCAGAAAACGCAAGTGGCTGTGCGCAAATGTGCGTCCAAGTGTTTGCAATCGCGAGTTAATCAATGTGCATCAAGCGTTTGCAATCGTGAGCGTGCGTATGTGAGAGAGTGGAGAGGAGGACCTCATCAGGGGTCTGCTCTGCTCGCAGACGACGGCCATCAAACAAGAAGGCAATTGAGTTCATCTCCACAGATTGGCGATCACAATATGCATTCATAAGCTTCTTCAGCTGAGTGCTTCGCTTGATCCTAAAAAACACTTCATTCCCATCCTGCAACGAAATACAAAAGCATTACTTCCATCCTGCACCGCAACATCTCATTCGCACAGTTTTCATGACGACAACCTGTCTTAACCACCACTCATAATCAAATTTGCAATCACCAAGTAGGAAGAGTCAAACTCCATCACAACGACGGAATTAGACGAACAAGTGTTGTAACGGATACATTTCACCATATCAGTAGTTTGTGCACTAAACTGTCAATCGCATAAAAGGAACAGCGCGAGAACTAAATTCATACGGAAAAGCTGGAGTTCCAAAGGCCATTAAACACAAAACACATCTCCATTTGTCATCACAAACGACTACATAAAACAATGGCAAGCGTATTGCAAAACGATAAGACCACAAAACCAATTGCTTGCGAGGCGAAACCGCCATGATCATAAAAAAAGGTCGTACCCAGTGCACAAGGCTCCCGCTTTACGCAGGGTCTGGGAGAGGTGAATGTCGGCTAGCCTTACCCCCATTTATGGAGAGGCTGCTCCCAAGTAAACAAAACCAACAGTAGTTTAACAAGAACAAAAGGCGTAAATAAGATATCGACACAATCACAATAACAGATGGCAGACAACAAATACATGAACAAAACAGCAGCAAAACACACCCTAATCAGATCATCAATCTAATGCCCTAATCCCAGCAAAAAACAGGCTGTGCAAATTGATCAACCCCACTAATGTATGCATTAATTTGCCAAAAAAATAATTAGTAATACTCAAATCATAACAAATTAAACAGATATTCTTCGAACAAAAAAAGGGGAGAACCCAAATTTTTCTCAGAACCCAGAAATTTAAAATCCCAAGCGAATCGGAAACCCCAATCATAACAAGAAATATAAAAAAAATACAAAAAAAGTAAATTATATACAGAAGGGTAAAGTTTGATGGTGAAAAATAAAGACCTGTCCTTTGACTTTGAGGTTGATGTGGGCGGCCTGGTCGTTGGGCTTCTTGTCCTCTTCTTGCTGCGGAGTCGACATCCTCCCCTTCCTCTTCCTCTCCTTCTCCTCCTCCTCTGTAATCTGTATGAGAAGCAGAATTAGGGTTCTTCTCCTCCGTAATCTCTATACCACCGACGCTCTTTTCAGTACATCCGGCAATGGATTTCCTATACGTGTAAGAGTTTGATTGGTTTCTGATGGGCCTTGTGAGGTTCATAAATCTCCAGTATTTGGGCTCAAATTCCCAATTCATTAATTACACAGGGCCTTTGAGATCCTCCAGGCCCGATAAGCTTTTGGGTCAAGGATAAATCAATCTTGTTAACAAGTGAGTTGTTTAGATTTTTTTTCTTTCTTTTTTTAGCATTTTTACACTAAAGGGAGAGGAGTTCGGCTAAGTTACACAATTGGCAACCTAATTTGGTATCGAATTCGCCATCCACGAGAGTGGAACGTGAGACCTCTCATTTCCAAGTAAAGAGAAATACCCCCAGACTGTAGTACTAAGTGACAGTGAGTTGTTTAGATTTAGAATATAAAGCACATGTATAAAGGTTCGAATCTCTTGTTTAAAATATTCCCTTGTAAGGTCATTTTCATGAGAGAATTTTCAGGGTGCCCAACGGTCTGGTACATCTAGTGTCATAATATGAGTAGCTAATATTTTTTTTTAACATATTCAACTATTTTTATTATGACACTTAGGCCATCTCCAACTGAATGAGGGCCAGAGGGCTCGTTTTAGCTCTCTGGCCCTCCAAGAAATTAATATTTTAAAAAACAGTGTATGACCATATTTCTTACCATCTCCAACCGAGGGTAAAAGGGCCATAGCCAAACATAGCCTTGTGACAAAAAATCATCTCCAACTAAAGGTCAAAGGGCCATAAGGCCAAACATAATTTATTATTTAAATTTAAAAACTACAACAACTTAAATTTAAAAACTACAACAATTTAAATTTATAGGAAAAAATGAGAATGTTGTTAAATGTTTTTATTTTTATTTTTATGTTGTATAATTTTTATGTTGTTTTGACACACCCCGATCCTAGAATCAAGGCGTGCCGGCCGTCACGTGAGCGTGACGTAGCCAAAAGTGCGACACGGAAGCAAGATATAATAGAAATATGAAGAAATTTAAACCAACCACTAGCAGTAATAACCTACTAGCATAAAAGAGTAAGTTATAAAGTAAAACACACGAATTCAGAGCGTAGGTATCAAGTGCAGTCAAGTAGGACTATAATTAAAAGTACAACACCCGCATGTGAGTCCTACATGAAGAACGTCTGTCAGAACGCCGAAAAAGACCTCGTGAGCCACCAACTGCTAACTAGAACCTGGAGGGGCGCAAAACAAAAATGAGTGGGTCAGTAAAACCAAAGATTTTCCAAAAACATTTCATTTAAAACATTTCTAACCCCTCACCGTAAAACCTGTATACTTTCCCAGAAATTTATTATAAAAACATATATATATCATCAAAACTCAGCTCACAATCTTTCAACGCTTTTCAGAAAGAATATGCCATGCCATGCCAAAATATAATATGAATGCATCGATATAAATCAGGTGAAATAATAAATCAACCGGAGACCCTACAGTGGTCTTGTATGGCTGATTCTATAGCTCAATATCCCACTCAGCCGAAGTCACCACAGTGACCTATACGGCCCTACTCTGCACGTCACTCGGAACTACGTAAGGTAGTCTGTACGATGAAAGGTGTAAGAATACGCTCTAGTGTTTATCTCATTAATCATCGGCGTGCATAACTAAGGTCACCCACTAGTCGGAATCACACCTAGTGATCTATACGACTAGCATGTCGGAACCCTCACATGGTCTGTACGACATTCACCTACTTGGATCCAAGGCGAGTGTGCGGTGTGGTGAATAATATAAGCACTAACACCTAGGGTGCAGGTTATGAGCTTCCAATGCAATTCACATAAAAATAAATCGTATGAATAATGTAAAAACTCACCTGTGCGTCCACCGCGTCAATTCATATATATATGCATCAATTATCAATTCAAATATCTCATCGATTGCGTGCATGGCATTTTAAAACATATTTTCATATAAATACATTTTCTGGGAAAAACAGTAGTATATAGGTAATACGAAAACAAAACTGCCCACTAACTGGTAAGTCGATGGGTCGTAACCCCCGTGACGTCCCTGGATGCGCTCGTCCTCGGGATAGGTGTCACCTATATGCGAAACAACTATAAAAACGTTAATTAAAACACATAACCAACAATTCGAAATAACTTCTCATACGGTGCCCAATTTAGGTATATGAATATACCACATCGACCTACTCGACGTCACGGACGTCGAGAAATTTTTAGAAAAAATTTTGGAAGCCCCACGCGCCGCCACGCGAGAGCCAAGGCACGGCCAGACGCGCGGTTACGCGCAGGCCACGCGCCGCGCGTGTCGTCTTTTACCCTAGGCTCGCCGGACTGGTTTTTCTGGCGGCCGGATTCTGGGCAAATTTTGTAATCGCTTGTTCTCCTTCGTTTCTGAACCGTTTTCTTCGAATTTTATATCAATTTGAAGCCCTCAACATGTAGAATCACAATGGACTAGTTTCAAGGTCTAAAATCCACTAGATTTTACCTGAGGAAGCACGATAATTCGGCCAATTTTGAAAGACTCCGTTCTCAGTCATTCGACGTCCAAATGTTACTAACAAAGTACCTCGAAGCTCGTGAGGATGTCCTTAAGCTCACTGTGAGCTTGAAATTCCCTGAAATGTAAGATTTCACGTGTGCATGAACAGTGCACATTTTCGGGGTTAGGGTTTCACGACGATTCCGAGGGTTTCACTTCCTAAAACTAGTATCATTCAACTCAGAACATCAAAAGGATGAAGAATCATACCTTATTTGCTTCGATCTGCGAAGTTTAGAGGGTTCTTGGGTGAGGCCGTACACTTCGAGAGGGAAAGAGTGAGAGAGAGTCATGAGGGAAGAGAGGGAGAGAAGGAGAGAAGGCACGGGGAAAGGGAGAGAGAGCAGGGAGTGTGTGTGTGTGGTCCAACACAAATCCACACCATCCATTTCTTTCCTAACTCCTTAACCACACAAACAATCCCACATTTAATTAATAAAATTTCCCAAACTTAGGAAAATAAACATTATGAATATAGTATATCACACCCACCTAAGTAACATCGAGGGCAGCATCGTCATTTCACGTCCTCGATATATATTTTCGGTATGGGCTGTGACATGTTTCATGTTACTTAATGTTATTTAATGTTGTTTAATGGCTTAGGAAGTTATAGGAAAAAAAATAGAATTTTTAATTTGACGTTAGCTAGCCGTTGCATTCAAATTTATGGCCCGCCCCAGGGCTGGTTAGGTTGGGCCAGCAAGTTGGCCTTTGGCCATTTTTTGTCCCTTAGGGCCCACGAGCCCTTTGACCTAGTTTTTGGTTGGAAACGGTTTTCAGGCTATTTTCGGCCCTATGGACCATTCGTTGGAGATGACATTAAAGCTATCTCCAACTGAATGAGGGCCAAATGGCTATGTTTAGCCCTGTAGCCCTATAAGAAATTATATTTTAATGAATAATGTCATACCATATTTTATACAATCTCCAACCAAGATGGCCAAAGGGCCATAGGCCAAACATAGTCTTTTGACAAAAAACCATCTCCAACCGAGAAGGCCAAAAGGTCATAGGCCAAACATAAATTATTTTAATTGAATTAATATAGTTAATTAAATTAAACTACCATATTAAAATAAGATTTTTAGACATATTGGAAGATTATTGAAAGATGTGGCCATTTGAAAATTATTGAAAAAATTAAAGGAAAGATTATTGGAAGAGAATAGAATGTGAAGAATTAAAATAAGATGAGGTAGGATAATATGGAATGATGAAAAGTATATGAGAAATGATGCATGAAAAAAAATTAGAAATATATATATATTTTTTAAATTCATCCAAAAAAAAAGGGCTGGGCTCATCGGGCTGGCTGGAAATGGCCAGCCTACTGGCCTGATTTGGTGGTTTCGGCCAAGTGAGGCCAACAAGCCATTTGGCCTATTTCTTAGTTGGAGACGATTTTCGTATTATTTCGAGATATTTTTAGTCCTATAACTCTTTGACTGTATTGATTGGAGATGATCTAATGTATCAGAGCAGGTCCTGGCGCATTTAAAAATATCTCAATCTTCCGCAAAGAGCTATCTGCCAAATTTAGCCGTAAAGTTAACAAAACCAGTCTCACCAAAAGAAATGAGGCTACAGAGATCGGCCCAAATTTTGCCCAGCGCAAGCTACACATACCCAGCTGCCCACCTGCCCTTGGTTTACTTTTACGACGGTCCCACCATGTGCAGCACACAAATGTGAATTGCTATAGTGCAGCAGCACCGCATGGAAATAAAATGCAGCTGATGCAAGAAGGGCTCTGATATTAGTGCCGTTGAAATCAACGGCATTTGTTGTGGAATTGGGTCAGGTCCCTTTATTGTTGAATAACTTGAATGTGTTTTGTCATTTTGCTTGCGTTATTGCTTTGCTCTCCAACAGTCTTGGCATCTTTTTTTTCCTGAAAAGCTTTTTATAAATGATGGTTACTTAATATTATGATTTAGAAGTACTCTTCTTTATTTATAACTGAGAGACATTAAGTTTGATATCGTCAAAGATGAATTTGGACCAATAGCTCATTGTGAGGCTAAACTCATCTTTTCGGTTAATATAGATAATATCATTTGTTTAAAAAAAAAAACTAATGAAAAAAGTTTTTAATTTTTACATTTTAATCAAAAATCACTTACTAACTTTATTTAATGATAAAGATAAAAGAATAATTTAAAAAAAAAAAACAACTTGTGCTAGGGCGCATAGCTAGGGGTGGGCAAACGGGCCTTAGGCCCACAAGGCGGGCTGGTTCCATGCGGTTCAGGGCGGGTCTAAAATTTGTAAAGACAAAACGAGGCAAGCCGGGGCGGGTTCACAAAATTATTAAGATGGGACGGTGCAAAAGCCTTAGGAAACAGGGCCCCGGTTGGAACCGTTTCTCCCAATTCTCACAAAATTATCAGATCTCTGGTTTGGTAATCTAGTCTTTTCTCCCAATTCTTAGTCGTTCGATCTCTGACACACCCA